GCGTCGTCGTTCCTCTCTCTCTCTCTCTCTCTCTCTCTCTCTCTCTTTCTTTCTCTCTCTTGCAGTGATGTAGCACTACAAGGAAACGAAGTACGTAAAGACAGATTTCTTGCGACGAGGGACAGATAGCACTAGATTTTCTCGAAACTTCCAGGCGTCACATAAAAAAAAGTGCCGTGCGTCTCGCTTTAATCGCGCAGTGAGCTCTTTTACTTCTTTATAGACTCTAGAGATCAGGTGTCTATTACATTGTGTTAAATTACAAAAATTTAATTGCAAATGCGCTCGGTACACGGCACTCGGATGACACGTCTTCATGACAGCTCGTGAAAAACACGGTTTGTTCCCTTTTAACGAATTGAAACTCGACCGTTGAACGGTTGATAGCCACGGTTCGCGAGATTTGCGGTCTGCACGGACAAACTGAGTAACATAAAAGCGCGCAAAGCGCAGTCGGACCTATCCTTTCGCGGAATTGTAGTGACCACAAGGAGTACGTTACGCGACCATTCGCTTATTCGTTCGGTGAGGACGGAATCGCGCCGGTCGTCATACTCGCGATTTTAACGGCTCTCGCTCTTTGTCGCGCGACAGTCTGCGGTGGGTCGAGCGGGCCATAAATAAAAATTCACTGGCAAAAATCTGCAAGCTAACGGCTACACGCGCAATATGTTAGCGCGGATATTAATCACGATTATACGATTTTTTTATTTTTCAGTAATGTAGAGTAAAATCGTTTGGAATTTCTAATTATTTCAATATATTATGTATATTTGGAGAATTATTATGGCTAAAATAGTTCGTCAATTTCGATCTCCGTCCACATTTCTAAAATAATTTGCTGCACGCGAGCAATTTATTTTACATATTTCGCCGTATTTTATTGGTTTTTTTTTCATACTCATTGATTAATTCCCTTGCTTATTCACTAATCCATTTCGATGTGTATTGAACACTTCTCGTTACTGCGTATTTATCTCAGTTGGTTATTTAATTAATAGGTCCAGTAAAATGATTAAAATCACCCGCAAACTACCCACCTGGACATGATCCGCTGCGCGTTGTCCCTTTTAAGTGCAGCCCTTGTACCGACAACAAAGTGCATACGTCGCATACGTTAGCTAATCGATATTTTAATATTGTCACACGCCATTCTGGATTAAAGGCCTTTGTGTGTGTTTGCGTGGGTATATATGTATGTGTACATCGTGACGTCATTGGGCGGCAGATGTGTCTCGTCCAAAAAGATTTCCGAGAGCGCGATGCAATGTCGCTTACGCGATTAAAATTTGCTCGCATGCGAAACCAAGCACAATATTCGCAGGTATGTGTGTGTAACCACAAATAATTTAAAGCTGTTCTTTCCACTTCATAAAACATTTTTTCAAGCGTTAATTGCAAAAGTTTTCGCATCAATTATTATAATATACTCTAGTACATTATTTTTATCAAGTTTATAATTATGTTTAAATTGATTTAAATAAGCTTTATTAAAATGAAAATATTGAAGAATTGATTGAAGCGAGTTATTTCAGAAATGCGGATGAATAAAAATTACCCAATATATTAATTACGATATTTTAATTGTAGTAATTCTTCAAATATATATAATATATCAAAACAATTTTATTTCTCTTAATATTTACTATTTAATCACACGACTAATTGATCAACAATATTAGAAATTTTACAAAAATAATTCAATAGCTCAAACATTTATCTCGATATAAGAGAGATAAACTTAAAGAGCCGATTTTAAGAATAGCATCGACGGAGAAAAAAGGGTGGATTCGTGTTAAGTCTTCCGTAAAAGGGTTGAAAGGAAGTATTCGTAGGCTGACCAGGGCTCGAATCGTTGTTAAACAATGGCGTTCCGAACGATTTGCCCGTAAACGTCGCACAGGCCAATTTGTCGGGCAATTTCTGGAGAAAATCGTTCGGTCACTATCATTATAGAGCCGAGTTTCATGTGCAGATATATTGTTCATTTGATTCTGTTGCCGTTTCTAAGTCCTATTCTAGATTTTCAAGCTTCTTTACGATTACGATTATATAACATCATACATTTTTAAAAATATTAGACGTACAAAAATATCTTAATTTATTCATTAATTGGCAATTTTACTACATTATTATTTACTTGTACACTTTTAAAGGAAATAATATTATTGAATTTATAATGTAAAATTTTTAATTTATATCTTATTAAAATTTGAGAGAAAATATATTACAAATATTAATTAATTCTTTTCCATAATTAAAGATTAGTCATTATTTTAATTTTTATTGTTATTAATATTTAATATTACCTTTAGTTCTAAATAAATAGAAATTTAAGCTCTTAAAAAATTTTTGTAGCAATCATGTTATACGCTGTGATTTATTGCGCAACATTTACATCGAAACGGTGCACAATTGTATAATATATATTGAATTTTCCATCTATCCGATAAAAGATAACGTGTAGCCGCGTTTTCCCGGTCTCAACCAGCTAGCTAGCCATTTCCCATAGACACACAGTCAAGAAAATCTGAAGAAATAATCCTAACGGATGGCACCCACGAGGTTTGCATATGAAAAGCGCCCGGCCGTGAATCGATACACCTTTATTATGCTCGAGCACTTGCTTATCTTCGCGTCACCCCGCCGGCATCTTCCTCCCCAGGGAAGTCAGCAATATTTTCGACTTCCGGAGAAAAAAGGAGCCGCGACCATTCGGGGAAGAACGAGGAAATCAGCAAGCGCCCGAAGCGTGAAACAATATGCCGAATTTTCCACCACTCGGCGATGACGCCTGTTTCAAGGATGACTCGACCTCATCTCCTTCTCACTCTCTAATTTCTATCGAGAGCCATAACCCCAAGCCAATTTGTACTTCACGCTCGTCCCGTCGAAGGATCAGGCTAGAGATGACTCGGGAAAATTTCAAAGTCTCGAAACTTTTGCCCGAACTTAAGCCCCGCCCGATCCTTTTTCCTAACGCTTCTACACAATTTTTTCTATTCTCTGGATTTCGATTTAACTTGAAACGTTGCGAATTATGCAAAGATGTGAGCAAGTAATCAAAAATTACAGAAAAGAGCGAGAAGAGATTTTGAAAAACTTCATGATTCAATAAAAATTATGTTGCGTACTTATATTCACGCAAATACAACTTTGTTGCTTCTGATTATATCACCAAGTACTTAATGTCTAATATTAAAAAAACTATAAAAAGTATATTGCTGTCTAAGAAAAGCATATATATAATAATAGCATTTTATGAAATAAAAACAGAATATTCCAACTGAAGAAAATAATCTGAAATCTTTATAAAAAGGTACAGTTTAATTAGTATAATTCTTTAAAATTTTTATTTCTAGAAATAGGACTGTATAAATAAAATTCTATTTCATATTTGATATATGCGTTCTTTGGGCGAACTTTTCAACAGTTCAGGAAATCCATCGAGGATTTCTTGCAATCTTTACGCCTTGTTCGCGTGCGACTTTCTCCTCGCTCTTTCCGACAATTGAAAAATCGCGCGCGTCAATGAGATGAGACTGCGACGATCGTCTCTCATTCCTCGCTAGCAGCGACGCGTAAACGCTGCAAGCGTAATCCTGGTGAAAGGTCAGCATATAGCAGGAAAGAAAAGTCCCTCGCCCACTGTCGGGCTCGTTATTCTACTTAGCACCTTGTTACATACAACGAAATGTGTTCTATTGTGTATTGTCGCGAGATAAACTATCATTTACTCGTCGACGGCGTCGACTTGTTCCTAATTTTATTTAAGATTCATTGTCTTCACATCCTGCTCGTCGTCATTTGTCGATTTCTCAAATCCACGCGTTTCCACGAATTGCTTCGAGCAATTTCGCATAAACGTTGTAACATAAAATTATTATACGAAGAAGAAATAATCATCATTTTTGCGATTATTCACATTTAGAGATTAAATCAAATAATATTATTAGAATTAAACTACAATCCTAATCTAATAATTCTTTTTCTCACACGTTAAAAGTATGTATGTGCATGAAAAAAAGTTAATATACAATATAAATGAATATATTTCCGGTAAAACTACCCACTTAAACGCGGTAAATGAAAACGATTTCCTTTAATCACCAAGAAATAATGTTTCCAAGTGTAACAGAAAAAAATATGCCTCAATCTGACGATTGTTCGGCTTTAAGACGATCCTGCAGCTCCGCTCCTAACAAAGATCTCTCCCTATTCCGAACGGCCATTTAATTAGGACCACTTTATTTTGCTGCAGCCTTTTGTCTTCGGCTGACTTTCCTTCCCGTCGCCCGAGTACCGCGAGACAGTGAGGTACGATGGGAAGGAGGAGGCAAGTCCTGAACTTTTTAATCTCTTACAAGAGGAAGCACCCCTGCCCGCTACAACGTGCTCATATTTATCTCGTCTAAGAAGTTTCTTCCCGAACAACGCTGCGAGCGTATTTATTCGTCCGACTGTGCGGGACGCTTGTGTTTTCGAATTCGTCAAGTCCAGTCTTACCGAATTGAAAGAGAAAGGAATCCGCAGCAGTTCGAGAAAAGTTTTTTGTAACTAAGGTGTTTCTTTAACGTTGGAATACTTAATAGCGTCTGTTCGTATTATTCCGAAATATTACATCCGCGTTAAAAAAGTGCTTTCGGAGGCTTTTCAATAAAAAAAAAAAAGATACAGAATTTTTGGTAAAAGAATAAAATTTCCGTGCAATACAACGTTCTTCTGTAAAATAATTAAATTGATCCAGTTTTAATTCTCAAATGCATCGTGTTCTCATAATATCGCCCAATTTTTTACTAATGTGAATTGAATTAAAGTAACAAGTATATATAGATATGAAAAAAGTTCGTAAAAATGATTAATTGATATTTTAGGAGATCTTGTACGGTGTTTTTCAAGATAAGATAAATTTGAGTCTCCCTACTGCGTCCCTAACATCCGGCGTTACGATCACGGAGAATATGCTTTCCGGGTAATGTTTCGCGGTGCTTTCACTCGCAAAGTGAGGGTCGCGCTTAAGCACATGCCGCGTGCATCCTCCGTTCTCCGGGCTGGTTTTCCCTTCTTTCGACTATCTTCCCTCATTCTCGCCAATGGACCGAATGTCGAATTAATAAAATCCCAGACTCGCCCCAAACTCGCGCGACGGACGTCTACTGTGCTACGTGGGGCGTGAAAAATGGTTGAAAATCTGATATTCCGGATTAAAAACATTGAAATTCAAAACCCGTCCCTCCCGCGTCATAAGCTCTCGCACGGCGCCATGGGGGAAGGAGGGTCGAGAAGTCGTTAAGGGTCAGTTTCAGCCGCATGCCACGGTAACCGACCCCCGCTCGGTCTGCAGCCGCCTCCTCGCGCGCATCCCGCCGACCGTCGTTCCGACGAGGAGGATATTATTTTTAAGCCCCCGCAACTCGCCAGCCCGGACCGCAATTTGACACAGACGTGCCGTTTGAATTCCGAATTCAATCGGCCGGGGCCGATCTCCGTCCCGATTCCGCAAAATTAAGGGTGGTTCGAAAATTGATAGCGGGACTTGGGAATATATACGTACGCGCACATGTTACGTGCGTATGTGCGTGTTTTACGACTCGCCGTCACACTCTCGTGAAATCACCGGGAAGTCTCCTGTCATCGGATCATTACGATGTATCCAAAGCCTTATAATCGTCTTATTCGCAGTAATAATCCATTGAATTATATCGCAATTTTATCAACGCGGCTCTCTTGCTCCCTTCTCCAAAAATAAATCTTAATTTCGAAGGTTGCTGTATGTCTACATGTCATGTAAACATAAACAAATGAAATTATCTTGATGCTTAATTTTGATAACGTAATTTTGTTAAAGTAAAAATATTACGTGATCTAATTATCTGTATTATTGTTAAATAAAATATTAATTATAGAAGTAAAGAAATCATGAAAGAGTTAAAATCTCTGTGATTAGTGAATAGTGAATTTATCTAAGTCTTAACAGAATTGACAATATTCAAATTCTCCTGCTAAAAGCAAATTCTTCAAACGTAACGATGACAACTGTGATCCTTAACCACCGCGACGTCGATATATCTGTTTCAGAGCCAAGGTGGCTGCAGTGCTCGCAGTGTTCCCGGCGGCTGTGTTCGGCGTGGGAGCTTCTTCAACACGTACAGAGCATGCACGGCGCCCGCCTCTACTGCTCCTCCTCCTCGTCGACGAACTCGTCGTCGAACACTCCGGCGCCGAGTCCACCAACACCTACGCCAACGCACGCGCATCATCTTAGCCCGCCGAATCATCTGAACCTGAGTGGCAAGTCCACCGGAAGTTCCTCGGCGGCGAATTCTTCGGGCGGCACGAACACGAGCGGAAGCAGCGGCGGTCGACAGCAACTTCAGAGCTCGGCGTCTTTGGTGGGCGATCCACTGCACAGTTTCCTGAGGCTACCTCAACACCTAGAACGGAGTTTCCCGCCTATGTTCAGGCCGGATTTCCTCACCCTAAACCCCCTGGCGGGATACAGAGGTCTTCAAGAACTGCAGACAGCTACGAGGAATCTGCAAAACCTGGGCGATCCGCTTCGCGGTATAGACGGTTTGAACCTAGGTGATCCACTGGTACGCAGCTCGCTGGATTCTCTGAACAACGCCCGAAACTTGGCAAACCTGGCCGAGCTATCGCACGGCCGCGGCCTCGCCGGTCAAGCACATCCACCGCCACTCGAAGCGAACCTGGATTTTTACTCAGCGCGCCTAAGGAGCCTCGCTAATCCGTCCTTAGGCGCGGCTCCACCTACTCCAAGCGGTAATCCTACGACGAATCCCCCTCCCCCGCCAGTACCGTCAGTACCGCCAGTACCCGCCAGCAGTGTGCAGCAGCAGCAGCAGCAACAGCAACAACAGCAACAATCGCAACAGCAACCATCATCCCATCCCCAATCAGTGGAACCGCCTAGTCCGGCCACGACCAACCCCGCGAATTTATCTCACGGCATTCATCAGAAGGAAAACTCGCCGCCTTGCTACAGCCAGAGCCCGCTGGGCCACCACAACAACAACAATTCGACCGACAGCGAGAAAACCAGCCCGCCGGTCGCTTCCACGCCGATCATCACCGATTCCGCATCCGAAATAGTGTACACATGCGAAATCTGCGATAAGAAATTTCGCTTCCAGGCAAACCTGATCAATCATCGCCGCAATCATCGAGACAAGGAGAGGCAGTACCAGCAGCAGGAAAACACGCAGGACGGCCAGAGCATGCCGGCGAGATGCGAGGTGTGCGAGATCGAAATGACGAGCTACGCCGAGCTGAGGAAGCACATGAGGAAGGAACATCAAGAGCATCTGAACTCAGCCGCCAGTCCGCAAGGCAGCGTCGAGACGGTGCCGGACGACGGATCCAGCTGCGAAGAGAACATGGATCTGGACGAGATGGAGGAAAATGATCAGAAAACCGAGCGGGACGACGCGGAGGAAAATACGCCGGAGGATCTGAGCACGACTCAGGGACAGAGCGGCGAGGAAAGCGGAGGTCGGGTGGAAAAACCGGCCAGTTTGGTGGGCGATCTCATGGAGAAGTTCGGATTGAGCAACATCGCTCAGTACTCGGAAGCTTATCGGCAAGCTCTGCAGGAAAATCACCGCAGCGGTTTCCTCAAAACCGACTCGTCGTGCAACCTTGCCAATTCTCTAAACAACAACAAGGAGAAAGAGAGCGCGCTCTCGCCTAATTTTAATTCTTCAACAACGCCGAACATTTTCTCCGGCCAAGGCTTTCCCAGATCTTCAGGGCCGGATTTTGGCGGTCTTTGGCTGCCCAGTCCACATTATTTAGAGAACAACGAGTTTCGCAAGTCTAAGGCCACGACGTCCAGCCTGGCGCTCCAAGGACTACCGAGTCCGTTGCTGAAGAAGGAGCGTAGCGGTCGGAACGACACCTGCGAGTATTGCGGCAAGGTCTTCAAGAACTGCTCGAATCTGACGGTGCACAGGCGCTCGCACACCGGCGAGAAGCCGTACAAGTGCGAGCTCTGCTCGTATGCGTGCGCGCAGAGCTCGAAGCTGACCAGGCACATGAAGACGCACGGCCGGCACGGCAAGGACACGTACAAGTGCCGTTTCTGCGAGATGCCGTTCTCGGTGCCGAGCACGCTGGAGAAGCATATGAGAAAATGCGTGGTGGTGGTGCAGCAAGGTCCCAAGCTGGACATACCGTACCCGGTGATCAAAGACGAGGACTCTTCCCTCAGTAGCAAGGATACTTGATCCTGGAACGGGAGCCTACCGCCGATTCCGCCGCTGTGGCCACACAGGCCGCCATACCCGGTGTATTGAAGACGGAGATCTTTCTCCCTAGGGACCTCGAGGATAAGAGAGAGACACCTGACGAACAATTCTGAATCGCGCCAAGTCGAATCGATCTCGGCAGGAGAGCTCAGCAGCTGATGACTTCGGAAGGGTCTCTCGACGCAAAATGTCCGAGGTCACCTCTCGGGATTGAGAGAGGTGGTAGGTTGAGATGGTGATCTCGAGAATCTCCGAACGAACGGAGCCTGGAAACGGCCCGAAAGATCGACGAGTTGTAAGAAGTAACGAGATATCCAGCGAAGCTAAAAAAAATTGACTGGTTCGAGGAAAAGACAATTCTCGCTCGATCGTGAGGACTCGAAGACGACATCCGCGAAAACAAGGATATAAAAAAAAAAAGAAGGTACTCGACAAGAAGTCCTACTCCGCGTTTAATTCACTAGAAAAACGAACGAATGGTTACCAGTTTTGCGAGTCTCAACACAGCTATTTAAATTATATATCGCTATAAATAGTTATATTAAAGAATAATGAGAAAAAAGACATTATAAATATGAATCTGCATATATATATATATATACATACAGATAAAGATATAAATATATATATAAATATATACATATATATATAAATATGAAAACAAATGCAAATATAAAGAATATAAATATTATAAATAAGATAACGAACATAGTTCGCGACTTTATTATCGCATTTGAAGATTATTTATTTAATAATAGATATATATGTATACATACTGTGTATAACGTCATATATATGTATAAATATTACGAAAATCTGCAACTCACCGTGTAGGTGACTATATAGAGACAAATCGGAACGAAGTCTTTTTGTACATTGCACGATGTCGCTTCGCAAGATCGCGTTATTTAGGACTGATGCGTCCTCACATTTTTTAAACGCATCGATTTCTCCTTAGTCTGTAAGGAGAACGGAAGCGACTTCGAGATGATCCTGTGTGTACATATTTAAAAACATCGATATTTGAAACCCTGTTATATATGCATCAATACTTAAGATATTGAAAATAATTGATTTAAGTAATATATGAAGAAGCTAGTATTTAAGCTCTAGCTCGATCCTATGTACAATGTATTATATCTATTACGAACGATTCTTATCATCTTTATTGCTCTTATTGTATTATCTTTATTATTATTATTAATATTATTATTGTTTTGTAATATTATTATTATTGTCATTATTACTATTATTACTATTAGCAGTCTATTATTATTACTATTACGTTTGTCACTATTATCATTACGGTTGCAGTGAATTTAGGCGCCGCTTTCATTATTTTATTCCAATATTAAATTATTATCGCAGATGTTTTTAAAAGTTAAGAAAATGCCAAAGTTGTTTAGGTTTACGGCCGCTGAATTTGCGTCGCGCGACGCGTCCGTCGAAGTGAAAGAGTTGTTTAACAAATATTACAAGATTTTTTTAATTAAAAACTATCGTAACTAAACTGACGATTAAACAATCTTGTGAACTATCTTAGAAGAAATTCCCCCATTGTGCGTGAAAATTCCCCTTCATCTTCGACGGTCACTTCGCAGCCACGTTGCAACTATCATCAGCGCGCTTTGTTCGTTGATTATATTTATTGCCGTCATGGCGATCGAGCCGCGCTCGGCTTTCGCAAAATCGACACCGAACGTTGATCTTGCGAAAATCGTTTCGCGGCCAAGCCGAGGCGCAACCAGAATCGAATTTCCGTTTTCTCTCGTCCTCGTCCAAGACTGAGGTTTTCGCGGACGACGCGACGATCGTTCTTCATTTTTGCGTTCCATTTTAAGTAGCGATATAGTTTTTCTTTTTATCTTTCCTTTTGTTTTTTTCTCAACGACGCCTCGTCGACGTAAACGTTTTCGAAGGGAACTGTTCCTAAAGAGAGAGATATATATATATATATATATGTAGGCAATAAGCTAAAAAAAATTACTCCGCAAAGAATGAGAGACGATGGAGAAGTGCGAGTGTCGACTGCATGTCTTTTTGTGATTTCATTGTGCGTGTTATCCTTCTCGTTCCGCGAATGAGTGTTGCGCGTGTGCGTGAATTCGATGGTGGACAGTATGAATGAGAAAACATAAAGGCGATTAAAAAAAACTCATATCAGATAGTTCTCTCGGTGTTAGACGTGTACGGCCCTAGATAAAATAAAATCTCTCGTTATCTAGTTAAAAGTTTGTTAGATCGATTCCTGAAATACGTACATGCCAGGCTCCGCGTTTATACGACATATTGTAAATAATGGCACTGCCCGTAGCGATGATCCGGAAGCAGAGAAAGAGCCGCGTCGTCAAAGAGTTGTTCAACGATCGTAACAAGAAAATAAAAAAGAATAAGTTCAATAGTGATTTTCTTTTCTCGCGTAACGGCGTGCTCCGTCGGCGCGTACACTCGCAAGGATCGTAAACGAAGGGTGGACACGAGCGAGACACAAGGGGTGGGGGCGGGGGGGGGGGGGGAGGAGGACAATCCCCTTCGCGCGAACGAGATCGAAAGAGAGAAAGAGAAAAGTTTTTCGACGGAGCACCGTGTGTGTAATCGACGAAATAAAAATCCATGCGGCACATCACCATACACGAATACGCATATTTTGATTTCGAAGAGTCCCTCCTCCTTCTCTCCTCTTTGCCTTTCTTATTCGAATATTCATCCCACATAGGACCAAGTTCCCTGTCTCACCGAAACAAAGGAGTGACACATGCAAATCTCGCGGCGGGCGATCGAACCGGCGGGATACGACGAGGACGAATTTATGCGACGCGGAAGAATATCCTCGCGCTAAAGGTATAAGGTGAACGCCGCAGTCACGGTGAACGATAATACGAATTCAGGATGCTAATTGCGCGCGGCGACTCCTGCTCGCGATTCGCGCCGATCGCAGGACATCGGCGTTCAGCTGATATAATCCGAATTATTGCACAAACTTCTCATTATCTCGATTAGTGATAACATATTGATCCGAGCGTCCCGTTGTGTCCCCCGGTTGGTTTCTAACATTTCTACAGGGTAAATCACGTAAAATGCTAAAGGATAATCCCAAAACAAACGTCAGGAGTATAGTCGAGCGAAGTATCTAGGCAGTCGACATAATTTAAAACTACGAAATATTTCCTATAATTATAATAAGAGAGAGAGAGAGCGAACGCGCGGAAGGATCCACAGAGTCGATTACGGGGGGGAGAAATGATAATATCGGAGCAGGGAAAAATTGGATTTTTAGGAAAAATCTTCTGATCCAGGGTATAAATAATCCGAAGCTCGGTTTCTAGTATGTGACCGGGTCAAACCTGGCATTGAAAACACTTTTAACCGAGGATCGACATTAAGGCAATACGAAAATAAAAGAAACTCAGGCGTCTCCGAGTAAATTCCGGCCGAAGCTTGCGACAAACGTCGGCCGAGCTTTCCTCGCAGGGGTCCCTAATTGTAAACATAGCAGATACGGTGTATGTCTTGTGCGATTCAAATAAACGACATTGTTTTTAAATAACCTACGTGGTCTACTCAAGATTTAACCCCAACATCTCTCCTTTCCTGCATTGAAAATCATTGTACGAATTAACTAGTTTTTTTTTACAAAGTATTTCAATCATTCAAAAAAATTATTTCAAGACAAATTCTTCATTTGCCGTAAATTTTAAAATTTAAATAATGAAATTAGAAATTTTGTCAATTGTAATCTTATAAGAACACATTGCACTCGATAAATTTTTATTTATTCATAAAATCGCACATTCGTAAGTGGCTATATATTTTATAGGTAATCGTGATTGATCGATTGTGTGCATGCTCGAGAAACGAAAGATTCTCGCAGCCATTTGTCCGCGTCGTTGGTTTCCGATACGCCTCTATCAGGCATAGAAAGCTTGTTACATAAATTGTTTAACTCGTCTCGAGTCACTGTCATTCGCCGCCCATTGCATTGCATAACGTGTTTCGCAACAGCTTAAAGCTAGATTAAAATTAATTTATCACGTTATATTTATAGTATAAAAATACTCAATAATTTTTTCTTTACTCATATCAATAAATGTAATGTAAATGTCCAATTCTGTAAATTTGCAATATAATTTTTAATTTCAGCTAATCTTAATTTATAATCTACGTAGCATAACATTGTGGTAATATATATATAAGAGAAATATAATTTTTTATTTACACAGTCGGCGAAAATGGCATAACTGTTTAATGAAGGATCAACTGTGCCATCTAGCGTGAAGCTGTAATGACACAAATGAAAATTCAGGTGAGATGATCATGCTGCACCAGTAAGATACTGAAGTGCATACCGGGTTGCCTGTTCAAAGGCTATCAGGTTAACGCATATCTTATATCTTTGTCTGACTATATAAAAAGATCATGCATAATTTGTTTGTAAAAATTTTTCTTTTCTTCAAATCTCTTATTTTTGAAACATTGTTTATTATACGTCATTATGTATATTCCAGATAACGAAATGTTAACAATGTAAGCAGACTGACAGCAAATTTGATTAAATTTGCTATTAATTTACCAACATCGCTAACATTCTGCTTACTACGGTATTATTAATTATGCATCCGCAATATAAACTGATGCTGATTTATAATAATTTCAAATAATATATTTTAAATTTCGCGACAGAGAGAATAAAAATTTAATGTTGTTAATTTTACATATAGAAATATGCATATTTAATTATACACATAAATATTTATTAAATATGTATATACCTTTGAATAAATGTTATGTCTAAATTGTTTATGCCTGCATAAACATATGATAAATTTTCATTCTTAAATGTTTCGAATAATTTACCAAATTCTCTCTACGTATATGCAAGTAATAATCCAATACTTCCTTTTAAATTAATTCTTCGTGCAAGAATGCAACCAAAGAATTGCTGGATCTTCTATCCAATTCGCAGATGTAAACTACAAAATATGCACCTCGACTTAATATTATCGTCATTTCCTATCCTATTTTCCATCCTATTTTCGCCCGCTCCGTTTTCGCATTGAGATCATTCCGCGGATTCCTCGAAAACCTCAAGCGAAATATAGATCACGAAGTCCGGAATCCACCGTCAACATCAGATTAATCCGCCGCTCGGTAATCGAGAGAGGGAGACAGAGGGTAGAAACACAGAGCTTTCAAAGCTTTCTCAGTACACGTCTGCCGGTTTCAGTCCTTGTTTCGCGGCAATCGACTCGGCGGGAGCAAACAGCGGCATCAGAATGCAAAGTTAGGACAATGCCGTTAATTTTTGGTCGGC